TAAAAATGCACAAAGAACTTGTATGGAGATTTTCCCATCTACAGATTTTTTCCTTTTCTCTGTAAATGAAGGGTGCACACTATTGCTGAGAAACACAATCACTACTCAGCAGTCAGATGTCTGTACGCACAAAGGCACAGATCCCTAAACAAGGCCATATCTGCAGATTAAACTTTGTTTGTAGAAGGATTTGTTAAATGTGAGCTAGCACCTCATGACTGCACCACATCATGTACGAAAAGCTGCAAAAGACACAGGCGCAAGTGGAATGCAAAAAACACGGTGACATTAATTTTTAAGTAAATATAATGGGCGATATATTGCATCACCAAAAATTATTGAGGTCATGTACATATATTGCGCGATAAGTCGATATATTGATTATTGCGACAGGCCTATTGGTAAAGCGGAGCTTCTCTTACCATGTTGAGCTCCTCAAACTTGGCGCGGGTCAGCGTCTCGGAGAAGTCTTCACCCTCGAAGAAGGACTCGATCTCGATGCGGGCCTGATGCTGGGCAGACAGCGCTCTCTTGGCCTTCTCCACCTCACGACGCAGCTTCTGCACAGCGCGGTTGTCCTTGCGCACGTCCTTGCCGGTCTTCTTCTTGTATAGCTTGATGAAGTGCTCCATGACGCGCTGATCGAAGTCTTCGCCGCCGAGGTGAGTGTCTCCATTAGTGGCCACCACCTCGAAGACACCGTTATCGATGGTCAGCAGGGAAACGTCGAAGGTGCCGCCGCCGAGATCAAACACCAGGATGTTCTTCTCACCGTCCCTCTTGTCCAGACCGTTCTTGTAGAGCTTGATGAAGTGCTCCATGACGCGCTGATCGAAGTCTTCGCCGCCGAGGTGAGTGTCTCCATTAGTGGCCACCACCTCGAAGACACCGTTATCGATGGTCAGCAGGGAAACGTCGAAGGTGCCGCCGCCGAGATCAAACACCAGGATGTTCTTCTCACCGTCCCTCTTGTCCAGACCGTAAGCGATGGCAGCGGCGGTTCTGTGGCGAGCAACAGGATCATTAGGGTTATTATTGGTAACTAAATGCATTATATATATATATATATATATATATATACATACAGTATCTCACAGAAGTGAGTACACCCCTCACATTTTTGTAAATATTTTATTATATCTTTTCATGTGACAACACTGAAGAAATGACACTTTGCTACAATGTAAAGTAGTGAGTGTACA